TACACAAAAGAAGAGTCGGGATGTGATGGCCACGAGGACCATGCCCGGTGCTGAATCCTTGATGGACCACCGTTTGATGATTTCTAATATGGATCTCCGTTATACATCACCAATGAAGCCACAATTTTATTTCAAGTAGAATCCTTTTTTTCAAAATTTTTCTTAGTTTTTTAAAAAATTCTACGAAAATGGTAAATGTCTATATTTCTGAGATGATGCATTATGTACACTATTTACATTATTTGACCTATTGTTCTCATCTTTGTCGCCATATTTATTACAACGTATCGGCCGTTGTACGCTCCGGCCTTCTTCAGGTGGTTGGAATGTCGAACTGAACCCTTTATTTCGCTCACTGGCGTAGACTGTTCTAGTTCCACGTGCCATGTTTTAATGGATGTCAGTTATCAAGGACACATGGCACAGTGTATAAAGACGATAGTTAGATCCAGTGACAGGACCCAAAGAGTGTGGGTTAAATATCCGGTTAAGGCAGTGGAGAACTTTCAGAGGGAAATTAACAGGAGATAACTGATAACTATTATCTATTGCGTTTATACACGTGACGCGTGTCTGACGTATGAGAACTTCGTAAAAAAATAGTAACATTCCAGTCGTCTGTTTCTTTGTTTCTTTCATTTCTATTCTCGATCTCTGACGACGTCTTAATAAAGTTGAAACTTGTTACACTGAGGTTCGTTTCCTACTTTATTCTTTATTTCAATTTATCATCTTGTATTTTTATCAATATCTGATCTATATTTGACCTTCAACACCCTCACACACACAGAAACAGATTCAGACACACAGATATATATATATATATATATATATATATATATATATATATATATATATATATACTGCATACAATTTGCGATATTCAGGGCCGTAGAATGATTCATGTTGGAGGTAGAGCGTCAGCAGATATGAAAAATGTGTGGCTGTAGACGTTAGCATTGCAAAATTTTATATTTTTAAGCGATCTTCACATCATACAATGTTCATTTCTAAAGCTACGCAGTTGCACACACACATACACACACACACATATATATATATATATATATATATATATATATATATATATATATATATGTGTGTGTGTGTGTGTGTGTTTGTGTCATGTGTATGTCTGTTATATATGCAAGCCCTAAATATGAAGAAATGTAAGCAATATATATATATATATAGATATAGACACACACACACACACACACACACATATATATATATATATATATATATATATATATATATATATATATATATATATATATGTATGCATGTGTGTCTAGTGTGTCTGTATTACACAAGAGATTCTTGCCCAAAACAATTTTGCTAGGCCGAAAATAGATACATCTATAAATTTTCTTCCATGTTTGACGTTCCGTCAGATTCTCATCCAACTGTAATCATTGTAATATATATATATATATATATATATATATATATATTACAGTTTATCATATTAAGAGCTTATCCATACATATATATATATATATATATATATATATATATATATATATATATATATATATATATATATATATATAGAGAGAGAGAGAGAGAGAGAGAGAGAGAGAGAGATAGTGGTGCATCCACCTATTTTTAATTCATTTCCGCGAGTGGGGTTCGTATCAACCACTTTGTCTACAGTTACGAATGTTTGGTTGGCAGGGTTAGTCGTGCAGGGTGGATATTCAGTAAGCAATTGGTTTTAGCAGATGCTTACTAAGAATTGCAGTATTAGAATATCTGTCTAGGGGCAGTGGGCAAGAAGAAATAGTTTCAAGCACTTCTCAAGGAGTATAGTGTAAACTGAATATCAGAATATTCGGACAATATTCTTTTCTCATTTCGTTTCTACTTCTTTTTCGACACGATCTCCTTTTTCTTCTTTTCTGCCGTATTTCATTGTCAATTGTTTTTTCTTTCTTTCTTTTTTCCTATAATACTTTTCTATTCTTTCTTTCTCTTTCTTTCTTTCTTTTTCTTTCTTTCTTTCTTCTTACTTCTTTAGTTCTTTCTTTCTTCATTGTTCTTTCCTTCTTTCTTTCCCTCTTTCTTTCTTTCTTTTTTAATACTGTCTTTATTATATCGAAAATTTATTCATTCTTTCGTTATTCGTTTCTTTCTTTTTAATTTTTCCCTATCTTTTTATTCATTTGTCAATAGCCATTTTCTTTTTAAAACTATTTCCACATTATTTTTCTGTCTTTTCTTTATCCTTTTTCTTTTTAATTTCTTTTTCTCAGTTAAATGTAACCACCACTTCTACTCCCACAGCTTCTTCTCTCGGACTTCCTGCCATTAGAACCCCCTTCCTCTTATTTGTTTTCAAATATTCAAATCTAATGCCTATCGACCTTCTTTAATCTTTATTCTTGCTCTCAATATCTTACGTGCTAGTGCCCCCCCCTCACCTTGATTGGGGTGAAATGCTAAAAAAAATAATCCACGTTTATTTCTTCTCTCTGTCGTTTTCTATGCATCCCTTATTTTCTATCTGAATCATTCATTCATCTTTCTTTTTTTCTTCGTTAATTTTTATCTATTTTTTTTCATATATTTCTATTTTTGCTTAATCTATTTCTCGTGTTATTTTTTTTTAAATATTTCTTTCTTTCTTTCGTTGTTTATTTCCGTTTCTCTTTCTTTGTAAAACAATTTCATATGTGTTCCTCCTACCAATCTTTTTTTTTTCATTTTTCCATTTTCTTACTTTTTCGTATATTCACTTTATGTAAGTAAATCCTTCATACATATAAATCTATTCTTGATATTTGGGAAGCACTGACCAGAAACGGATTCATATATAAAGCAAAACAAGTGATCGTCTGTAGTTGACAGGTTCACTGAATACGCCACATGTGGAAGAAATTCGCATCCAACCTTAATATTTGTTTTACGAAAATCGACCAGTTTTATGCAGCAATATATAAATTGGACACGTATGAAAGCAGTGAGTTAGTTTGAAAGAAAATAGGATCTAAAATAAAATGGTACTTACAGTCAGAAGGAGAGAAATGCAGTTTCTGTGACGCACAATGCGAAACGAAGAGCCGAAGAAATGATGTCTTGCGAAAAATCAGTTCGTATTATATACCCTTTTTATATGGGACTATTGTCTTGAACATTTTTTTGCTATCGCAACCTTTCGACCGTTTTACCATGTGACATTCATCAGCAGCTTGTTGACCCGGGTACATTAAATAACGTGTTCACTTGAAAATTTCCGCTTACAGCCACACCGCATTGAATCATTGGTTCCCGTACAATCACTGTTATTAAGCCACGTCGTGCCTGGTCAGTACATACATCGGTGACCGCTTGCGAATATCAGGCACTGTGAACTTGGTTGTACGGCTGGTTTAATGGATAATGGCTTGGAATTGTTAATCGCACAGACGAGTTCCAATTCCAGTTAGATTCGTTATATTCACTTATGTGGAAATACACTTAGGAAAGTAAAGAATCACCTCTTCTCTCTCCAGCAATGAGTTAACTCATAAGAATTACATCAGTAAAACCATTCTTACGTCAAAGAAGTACAATTAAAATTAAGTAAAAGCTATTCAGATTTCGGCATTAACTAACCCACAGAGTTTAATAAACAAAAATAACCAATCAGCAGAAATCCCTATAGATTGCCCGGATCGACATGTGCCTGATGAAGACCCAAGAGAACAACGATAGAAACGTGATAACAGCAACAAATACGCACGTATGTAGTGTAAATAATGCCAACTGATCGTATACCAATCACCATCTGAACACGTCTCCTTCCCGTTTATTATGGGTTTCTAGTCCGAATTTGCCAAATATAAGCCTCCTCGTTATGTGTGATTTGTTTTGACCAATGACATTGTCTATTTTGAGGTGAAACTCTTCAATTTCTTCTTCCATAGTCTATGTTCTCGGTGCATACACAGCGGCGATATCGATAGTAAATAGCTTCCCTTTCAATTCAACAACAAGAATCCTGTCATAGAATCTGTCACATAATATGGATTATTTATGAGGATTCGGACATATCCATTAGCATTCATAGGTACGGTATTTAACACCCCACATTTTTAGATTTAATCTGCCCAGAGTCAATATCTCATCCTCGTCGCTAAAATGTTGTAACTTAAAAAAAGATTACTGAATAAGGAATAATTAATAGTGAGGTTGGAAATGAAATGGCAATCTTTATAACAGCAGCAAAATACAATACTCATCAATGGTGTGAAGTAGGTAAACCACTGCTAAGGGGGGGGGCTAATTACACAGCATTATTACCTCCACTTACAAATAGTGACCAAAATATTTATGAAGACTGGAAGATAACCACTAGTCTTTAAGTGTATTTCTGTTTTATTTATCCATCTTGTTTTATTCATCTTTCTTTCAAAATTCGTTGTCTTTCTTTCTGTTTCTTTCTTCCTTTCTTTTTTCTGTTTGTTTCTTTGTTTCTTTCTTTTTACTGTTTCTTTCTTTCTTCTGTTTGTTTCTTTCTTTCTGTTTCTTTCTTTCTGTTTCTTTCTTTCCTTCTTTCTTTCTTTCTTTCTTTCTTACGAACTTATACTTTTCGTTCTATATAAATATTCCCTTCCCAAATCTTTTAAGATATACAAATGAATATTCAGATAGACTCTCTAATTTAAAACTCGAAATCGAAAGCAAATTTACTTTCCCTTTCGACTGCAATATGGGGAAATAAAGTTGATTATTATTCTGGTAAATAATATTTAAATAAATTTAACTTATGTTTGTTCTGCGATCTTTTCTAGTAAAAGCTAATTTTCATTGCAACCTTCACGACATCGATCTATCTATTTTGCAAGCCACCTAGCTAGTTGATCCATATTTGTCTATCTGTCTTTTCATATCTAACGATGTGTCTCTGTCTTTTTCTATCTATCTATCTATCTATCTATCTATCTCTTTTCATATTTGTTTATCTATCGATTTATCTATCCATCTATCTCTGTCTTTTCATATCTATCTATTGATATATCTATCTGTCTATATTTTCTATATATTATATTTTAATGAATATTTCTTTTTGCCAAACTAATTTCGATATCTTCATGTTAAAATCTTATAGGAAATGTCCACTGTTTTATTTTATTTTGGTTAAAATTACGAGTTTTCCTCTGGCTTCAGTTTATATTGAAGAAAATAATAAATTAATTCAAATCCAAATTCCATTTAATGATTACTAAAATTTTGTGAGTTTTTTGATTATTGAGGTTTGAATTGATTTGATATGATGTGATCGTCATTTTATTTCTGTGTTTTCAAATGCATACATAAACTGATACAGTTCTCTATTTATTATCTGAGAGACTCTCCCTACTTTCCATCAATATGGCCCTGTGCTGTACACCAGGAGGGTGATTCGTTGCTCCTTCTTGGGCTAACTTTCTCTGCTGATATGAAATGGAAACACTCTATTGAATCTATAATTCTCTCACAGTGTCTGTCTAGACAATGTCATCGACAGAATCTATCTTATATAGTTATAAGTCTTCCATGCATCCATACTTAGAATTTTGTCGCTTCGTCCAGTTCGGTGCTTCTGCTCCTTGGGTTTCTGGATAAAATCCAAAGAAAAACAGCAATATTATTTGTCCTTAACTGGTGGATCAGCTTATGTCAATTCCCCATCGTGGTAAGATTGTTTCCCTCTGCCTTTTCTATATATATAATTTCTTGGTAATTGTAAGGATGAGCTCACCGCTAGCGTAATAGTGGGAGTTCATTTTTTGTAAACGGTTTACGACCAGTGCATAAAGTGGACTTATATTTGCCGTTCTCTGCTATCTGTTTTTGCACTATACTTTCATTAATTTCATTTATTTTTAACTTTTTTAAGTTCTTCATTTACTAGATTTGTGCCAAAATTTGATTGTTTCTTTTTTTACATTTTTTTTTATCTTCATCCCATTTTTAATTTACCCCATGTTGTTCTTATTCTTTTATTATTAGTTTCGATTTTCTCTTATTTTATCGTTAATTTTTGAATATATTTTTTCCGTTTTAATTTTCTGTAACCCTCCTCACAAGAATTTATTTTTCTTTGTTTATTTATTTCTACGTTTTACTTCGTTTTTGTTTTTCGTCTTAAATATCTGTTAAATCTTCTGTGTTTTATTTTTTAAATCATCTGTGTGCTTAATTTAACTATCCTTGTATATTTTTTGTCTCATCTCTCCTTTTTTTTGTTCTTAATTTTATTTTTCGTGTTTCGTTCGTTGTGGGTCTGTCTTGTTTTTACGGCGGCCATCTTGTATATTTAAAATTTATTATTTTTATGCATTTCTTGTTTCTTATTTATTCTTGTAGTGTATCATGTTATTTTTGAATTACTTAAAAAAGAGACTTATTGTTCATCGTTTTAAACGCATTGTCTGTCTTACTGTTGAAACTTGACTAATGCATGGAATAATAATGCAACACAAAATATACTTAGAACAAAATGTATTGAAACAAGAAAGTGTACACAATATTTACATATAGTCTTTTGTATATTCCTGGTAAGACCGTTCCTGGAGAATGTGTTGACTTAGTCGCAGTCGGGCAGAGTCTCTGGATTGAATCTCTTGATTCCTTCCCTCTCTTCCCGGTACCAACCATATTTATATGGTCGGTACTCCACTATGCAAATTAGGTGGATCCTACCACAACACCTACATTGTGTATTTTCTTTACTTTTTGAGTCTTCGCACGTGTAACCGTTTTGTGTTTATTTCCTGATTTATGGTTTTTATGTGTCTAATTTTTATCGTATATTTAATTTTAAAGTTGAACTTTTTTATCGTCCGTCTTTTGCGTAAGTTAAGTAAAACTTTTAGCACTTCCCGCTGGTTTCTCCTTTCATTTCGTCTTGATAAATCTGTTGTTTATTTTGATTTATTCGAATGTATCTTTTTGTCTATTTGTATTTAATTTTCTGTTTCCGTTTCCGTTTTATGTAAAAAAAGAAGCTTGTTTTAAAAGGAAAAAAAAATAGGCACCAAAAAGGCGGTGAAAAAAAATCTATTCGGTGCACAAAAAAGAAAGACTCACACGATAAGAAATCTGAAGTCCCTAATACTAATGACCCTGAAAATATAAATATAGAATCCACAAAAATATGGTAGCCGAAAAAAGGCTTAAATCTTCAAGACGGCAGCGTTCATGTTATGGATCTGAAAAAATAAGGAGTCCGATAATAACCAAAATTCTTCGGAATTTAGCGACAAAAATAATGTTTCGGAAATTTGGAAAATCTAGTAAAATTCATATCACAGTTGTCACAATGTAAGACCGACATATGGACTATTATTATTTATACGCATTACATGAAATATTCAGCATATTAATAGTGCAAAAATTTCTCTTAATTCCCTCTATTATTTTTCTAAAATTTAGGCAAAATCAAAAGCAGCTAACATAAAATTCCATACATTCATAACTGGACTTTATTTTATTGTATTGTTTTAAGTAAATTCTTTCATGTCTATTGCTTTGTTTTGCAGGTGCAGTTACCTCCAGTGATAGTTACACCATGTCATTTCCATCACCGGGGAGCAGTACTGCCAGCAGCTATAACAGTCTTCATCGCCGTTGGATGCGGGCGCAGAAGACCTCACTGGAATCACGGGAAAGGAAAGGATCTCAAGAAGCAGTAGGACCTGATGTAAGAAAGTTATAATCTTTTCATTTTTTTATTTTTATAATTTGTGATTCTTATAATTATAGCTCAATATTTTTTTTTTCTTTAATTATTTTTTTTTTATCATATTGTTTCAGGATTGTCTGTTTTAAAACAACTTTCTAAAGCAAACTAATCTAGTTTTGTAGTTTATATATGCAAGAAATACAATTAGCAACTATGGTGGCAGAAAATGGCCAAAACTTAAACGAATTAAATTCAACCCAGTCAGATGACAATGAAGAAAATAATAAATACGTTAATGTCACGGTCACGGAGACACCCAGAAATGCAAAATCAGCATGACGGAGTTCCCAGAGAAGGCCAAGAATTACACACATGTTGTCACGAAAGATGGGTTCTTGGCTAATATCGTTGAGTTGTAGAAGATTGAGAAAAGAATTGTGTCAGTCTTTGTGGTGAACAAGCGTTTGCTCAAAATTTGTCGCTTCATAAAAGACATCGTCATCAAATCATTGCCATCACTTGGGATCATATCTCAACGAGTCATTAAAGATTAGGGGTACTTTACGTGGGACGTACTGTTGCTCACGCCTGTTGACTTTGAGGCCGCCTCCTGTCGAGATTTGTTAACGAAACAGAATACGAGGGAAGGTTCCGTATCCCCTGACAGTATTTGTGATCCTTCCTTATTGGTGAGCACTTGGCCACTTATCTGTGCTCATTCGGAGAGATAGTGCCTCTTCTGACGATCTGACCGGGTGATTGAGTTTTGAGTTGATGATTGATCGAAAGGCCTTCGTCTCTATTCCCAACTGCCTAGATATATAGGGCCAGAAAATACCTGTCATAGACAAAATTGCCATAGACAAACTTTTTGGAAGTGTGGAGACATGGTAACCTCTACTCTTCCTGCCCGGAGAATAAGGCCTCTGGTGTTCTGGCCCCCGACCAACCAAATCCCCCTTTGATCGAATCTGTACATTCCATTCCGCCGGTATTGGGCATGTCAAAGACCTGGACCAGTGTGGTAAAATCCCCGGTTGTGTCTGTCTCACAGCCTCCATTCCCCGAAAGGCCATTGCCTACCGTTCGTACGGTTACGAAGAAAGAAGAGAGGGAATAGCAGGTTGTTGACAGGGCCAGACGGAATCCCCGGGCAGCGGGACCTCCTTCCATTGAAGACCTTACGGCAAATGGCACAAACAGTCCAACTCTCTCTACCAGTGCTAAGGGGGACTCTCTGACCAGTTACACCGACCAACGTGGGGTGAAAAAACTCAAATATGAGCCTTCACTTGAGAAGGCGAAAAAACTTCAGCAAGACACCTTAAAGGAGAAACGATTCCATTCGGAGAAAAGAATAAGTCCGTCTTATTCAGCACCATCTTCCCCCAATGTGTGAAATATCAAGCCGTGGATCCTCCACTAATAGTGAATACTTTATCCCTAACTCTTTAAGAACTAACCCCTTTAAAAAAGGCCCCCTTTCCCAAACCTTCAACTAAGAAAAAATCTACTCCGGTCAGTACTCCTAGTCCATTCCACACCGTTACTCCCATCAGGACCACCACCAAATCCAAAAAACCTACATGCCAGGGAACCCCGTCCATGGAAGCTGTTGAATCTGTTTCAAAGAAAAAAATAGAATCCGTCATCAGTTTTGTTGAAAACGTCTGCTGGGTACCGCAATAAAAGAAGAGAAAAAGGTATAATGCAGGCGAGAAAAATCAAGGAGTAAAGAACAGTAATAAACCTTTAAAAAAATCAATGGACTGGACGTAGAAAATGGGTTCAATTTCTCAAGCGCGAAAAAATCTTGACGGTCATAAGATCTGGTATAGGAGGATAACAAATTTGGAAGATGATCGCAGAGGCTAATGACGCTTCCGAAACTTTTCCCCCCTTGGCCTTTTTGATGAGTCATCAGCATCAAAACTTAATCAATTTTGTTCAGGGAGGTTCCAGGGTTTTTTCACCTACCCTGTACAGAGCTTTGCAATCAACGTTCCCCTGGGACATTGATGGCTAGTCTTTTGATGACACCATCAAAACTGAGATAGGCACAGGGTCAATGGGACTGGCCTTCGGTATATTTACCCCGGCCAATTTCAATTAAGAAGAGCAACCATGATCGGACTGATAATGGCTCTTTGGTTAGCTAGGCCTGATATCGGAGTCTCACAGGGCGGGGCTCTCACGTGACCTTCAGCGTCTAGGGGTGAATATATGTTGTGTGCAGGAGACCCGGATTTCTTCTCGCGATTATGAAATCATTCTGTCTTGGAGTTTTTCCCTCTATTCAGCATGTTTTGATGGACGCTCGAGAAGTGAGCAAGTTTTGAAGGCTGC